GAGTTTTATCTTGGGTTCACTTTGGTTTGGTTTCAATGGGTTGAGATACTTTATTGTTTGGTTTGAATTGGATTGCTGCTGCTAGCGGTCTAGTGTGGAATGGGCTAGAGTGGTTCGGGTTCTGATGGTTTCAACCTAGGATTTTGAGCTATGCTTCTTTTGTCTGGCTCCATGGTGTTGCAAGGTGACTGCACATTGCACGCGGAGAACAAGAGCGAGCTATGCTGCATGGCGAAGGTCGGGTCGAGCAGGAGCTTGCGTCGTGCGACGCTGTGGTTGGCACTAGCGAGGGAGGACGGAGGAGGATGAGGAGATGGTGGTGGCAGTGTAGCCGAACTAGCCAGTGTCGCAGGGAGGCTCGTGCGACTGTCTAGGACCTCAAGTGCATGACAACGAAGACGGCAAGGATGTAACTTGAAGCTGTCCGCTGCGTCACCGCCTCCCGTGGTGGTCTCGGGCTAGAGCGGCATCCCTCGTGGACGTAGGCGGTGACAATAGCACGCACGAGGTCAGCGACAGAGGCGTAGGCCCCAGCATAAGGTGGAGGAGCCACAGGCTATGATCCACCGTCACATTCACCAACAGTCGCGTCAGTCGCCTATCCACCATCCCCGACACCAGCGCAATGATGCCATGCATGCGCCACAACAGCATGCAATGGTGCTTTGGCTTGCTGCCTCGATGCATCGCCAACGCCTGGGTGGAGCCACCATCGATCAGGAGGACTATTGCCTGCTTTACTAATTGGAGAGAGAGAGAGGAGGAGGAGGAAGGCTCGTACTCCCACGATGGCCAAGAGCAGATGAGGGGTGGGAGAGTTCGACGGCATTACTGCTTCTAGAACCTATGGGTTGCTAACCGATTTGGGAAACGGGTTATGAGCATCGAGTTAGTTTGGTCTGGGTTGGCATGTGATAATTATTTTGGATTGAATTGGTTTGATTTTGACCCTATGGTTTAGGATTGGATCTCCACCTATTTGCAGGCTAAGACAAACATGCCTGTCGGTTAGAGATGTCATCTATCGTGGTTTCATCAATCTTGAGATGTGTTAGCTCAATCTCAGTCTTTCAAAGGTCTTCATACGAGTAAAATATGTGTATGTGTGTTCATAGTGTGAGTTGTACATGTATGAATGACTATGTCTATACTATAATTAGAAGAAAAAAACACTTTCCTCTGCAGCAACACCTGGTCGTGAAGATGAAGAATGTGAGAACGGCACCTACAAATTAAGCATGAGCCGACTCTCCAGTCCAGATCTTGAGGAGACAGCCATTAGTCTCTGTAGCTAGCGTGCGTGAGCCCGCGTGGCCTGTGGCTCGACCGAGGAGGTCAGCAGGATGGCCTGGCTCAAATTAATCATGGGCCTACTATCCAGTCCAGATCTTGAGGAGACACCCAATAGGCTCTGCAGCTAGCGTGCGCCCGCGTGGCCTGGCTCGGCCGAGGAGAGGTCAGCAGGATGGCCCGTGGCTCGGCCCGCTGGGCTATGAAAGAAGAGGGAACCACATGCGGGCCGTGCCGCACATCGGGCCCTCTGCGCATGGAACCGTTTAAGGGCTAACAAAATATGCCAACTGCCGGGATTTCTGAAGAAATTTGACACAGTAACAACCAGAAAGCCTCAAGATCAAGCGATGGACCAACCAATGGAAAAGGGATAACACTCCGCACCTAGGTAACATATACCCCGTCCCCATTAAAAGTGTCGTTTTTGACTTATAGACTTCTTAGTTTATAATTCACAAAAAAAAGACTTCTTAGTTTATCCGTTCGTCTTATTTAATTTTTTATACAAATAATAAAATAAATAAATCATTATTAAAGTATCTCATGATAAAATAAGTCATGATAAAATAAATAATATTTATACAAATTTTTTGAATAAGACGAACGGTCAAACAAGAAGTTTAAAAGTAAAAAACGACTTTCAATGGGACGGAGGGAGATAGCTGAGAACAATCATTACTCATTAGCTGTGGTAGGTAGAGTTAAGCAACCAATTGCCGCTTTACTAAGTATGCATCGATGATTGTTAGATCAAACGCTTGTGCCTTTTTTTTAAACGAGTCGAGCAAGAGAGCTGCCGATTATATTAAAAAGCATATGGAGCTTAAACTAGACAAAAATAAAATGATAAAACACCAGATCAATTGGATTGGGACATCAACACGCACCGAAACCCTAACTCAAAGAAGTAAAAAAAACAACTCTCGCCGGTCAAAATAGGACATCGACACGAACCGCGACTCAACAAAGAACACACGCTTCACCACCACCAAACCACCATGAACTGGTCACTACACTGCACCGCCACCCCCCCAGAAGACAATGCCCTCGTCACCACTAGCGTCGCCATTGCCAACGATGTCCCATATCGAGTAGCCTGCTGCTAAGTAGGGCTAGCCGTTTTGTTCCGCTACAAGCTGTGTAGCCCTTATGCAATAAGATCCGCTTGTGTCGTCTCTGAAGATGTTGTCCCACAAAGGAGTAGCCACTCCCGCTACAAGCTGCTAAACCGACATGAGAGGCGCTGCCTTAGGCGCACACCAGCCGACCCTACTCACCGAGATCCACGTGCGCACACCGCAGCTTCCGGTAACCTAGCTGTCTCATCGAAGGTAAAAGTGCCACACATGCCCTCCGACTCTCAGTCAGAAGCCTCCTTGCGTTGAAACAGCCACCGCTGAGTGGGACCGCCAGCTGCCACACCATGTAGGTCACCTCGGCAACGCGAGTCTGCTGGCCACCACCTCCCACGTCGGCCTCCTCACCAACTCCGTGGGCACCTCCCACGTCGGCATTCTCTCCAACTTCGTGGTCGCAACTCACCAAACTGCCAAACAGATGCGAAACCCTCCAATCGTCGCGCTAACGCCCTCCTCTCGACCACTTTCCGCCGCAGTGGACATCGGAAACTTAAATCCTCACCTAGGCCTCCACCTTCCTCGCCACGACGGTGGCGGCCGTCACAGACTGACAGTCACAGGCTTCCAAACCGATGCCTCCAAGGAGGGACGCGACACCATCGGCGTCACCATAGCCTGACCAGAAAGGTCAAGGTTTTACATCTAGGAAGAGCACGCCACACAAAGGGGAGAGGGCCGATCGATGGACGCTTTCAAGAAAGAATACAATGCCCGAAGGCGTCGCCGCCATCGGTCCAATGGACAGCCTCAACCCCGTCCGTGGCAATGGCCAAGGCCCATACTTGTTATGCCAGCCATCACCCTGCCGTGTCGAGGGGCAACAACCAGGGCTCAACGCCCGTGCCAAGGGACTCAGCGTTGGTGATGTCACCGTAGTCCAGGTCGACGTTGCGGAGCAGGCCGGAGACGTCGCTGGAGCGACGATCGAGCGCACGCACGGTGTTTCCCGTGCCGACCAGTGTCGCACACAGGCGGCCACCCAGGTACCCATCACACCTGTCACCACCACCCTCATGCTGCCGACAAACACCAAATTGGGCCCCGCTAGATCCGCCCACAGGGCCACCAGATCCAACGAAGGGGGCACCAGTTCGGTAGTGGGGCGCCAGAGCAAGCCGCCGCCGACCCGTCGTGCCATGGCCGCCACCCGCAAGGAAAGAGAGAGGAGAAAGAGAGTGGCCCCGCCACCGCCATCCTTGCGGTTGCGCGGGCTTCCGGCAGCCTACTCCGGCGGCGGCGAGGGTGAGGGGCCAGGGAGGACGGCCTCCAACGGCAGGGGAGGGGAGCACCGGCCAAGTCGCTCAAGAGAGCAACGTGGGGGCTGGGTTTAGCTGGGCGATTTGATTATGTATCTTTCTAGAAGCACGTGAAGAATGAAATATTTCGACTTTGCCACTCATGTATCTTTCTAGAAGCACCTGAAGAATGAAGATTGTAAGTAGCTACATTAAGTTCTCAAGGGAAACACTGTTTCAGCAGTCTATAAACTGTGTTTCGCATAGTTTGAGTCTTGACCAGTGGCATACATCCGAGCCACAAAAAAAAAGAGTACATGAGAACCGATGCTATGGGGTTCAATAGTAGAGTGATGTTTTCACTGGACCAAGAAATTGGATTAACATGCCAGATTAGCATAGGGACCGAATAAGGACCAAAATGTATCCAATATCAACACAAAGGACACAACATTCAATAGAACCTCGGAAAATTGAAGTGCCATGCTGTGTGCGGTTTGGCAAACCAGCCTTGGGCCACTAGACAGATGGAAGCATGGTCAATAGAAGTACAAGCTTCCATGTGCATCGATTCCATAAACTAAAAGCTGTGCTGAAAGATTAGAAGCTGACCCAGTCTTCTTCCAAAGGCATAGTGGCGTAAGGTAAACTGATGAATGCGAACCCTAATAAAATTCCTAAATGTGAACAGTTTCACAACCATAGTTTAGTAACATGCGCCAATCCTGATAACCGAACAAGAAGTGAGCGCAATATTTGCTGAATGATGAAGCAATACATAAATATTTCCAAACAAGTCCAGTCTTCAGGAAATTTCCTAATGCAAATTGAATTAAGTTTTTTTTCACTAATCAACATAACCATGGTTTTGCTAACAGATTACTTGGTTTTTGTCCATCGGCAGTCTGGCCAAAGAGGATATTCCACATTCAGCTTTGGAATGCCCAAAGAAAACAAATGGCAGCTAGCAAGGTCTTCATTTTATAATACTACAATGTACAGGGCCAAAGTGAATGGGTTTTTTTTCAAAAATAAACATAAAAAATTGTCAAATTTGTCATCATTAAATAGAAAGACATAACCTAATGCCTTAAGAATGAGGCTGAAGCTAGGAGGATACAACAAGAAACTCACCATTGAAGTCAACTTCGTTGAGATCACCCATGTGAGAAGCCAGCCAGAATGCGTACAACTTGTAGACTACACAAAGTAAATGTCCTTATCTCCATGGCCACAGAAGCTGCTGTTTAGCATAAACAGGAAACTGGAAACAGAAACCCATCACAGATCTGGTCATCAAGTTCTTAGAGTCTGAGCACACGGGTGCAAGCACATGGCTGGGCTAATTGCATCTGGAATCGTCAAGTGGACTGCAAGCAAGCTTTCTTCTCTAGTTTCTGCACCAGTTGGGACATCACCCTCCGACCCCGATGAAGGGCAATCTGCTTTTGAGGACCTCCGGGAGCTGCGAAGGTCAATGATAATGATCCAGCGGACACTCGATGAATCAGCTGAGGGCAGCATCAGAGGTGAAGCAGAGAGGCTGCGCCTACGCGAGCTGCAGCAGTTTGTCTTTGATGCCCAGGATGCTGTTGACCAGTACAAATATGAGCTGCTGCGGCGAAGGATGGAAGATCAAGACAGGCAAGGTGATGGAAGCAACAGAAGTAGTCGCAAACGCAAGGGCGAAAAGAAGGTACTGCTCCTTCCATCTCACGTGTGCATGTGTCTCTTTGGTTGATCTGCTCAACACTTGTGATTAGTAGGGTGGGCCACTGGTCTATTTAATCACCTATACAAGAGAACAGAAGTTAGATTAGTAACATGCTTTCTGATATTTCCGGTGCCAAAAAGTTATGTGCATGGCATATATACTTTCTTCCATGCTATGCAAGCTGAATCAGATATGTTCTAGACAAAACAAGTCTATTTGAGATGGTTAGGCAGATGAGAAGAATTATTCAACGGTTTTCTTATTTGTACTGTTCCCATCCATAAAATATGTTAATTGCAAATGAAATATAAATGAATAATCATACTGTTAGAACTTACTTACAGGAACCAGAAGCAGACCCTATTCCAGTTCCTGTTCCTGATGAGTTAGCAACAAGGGTTAAAAAGATTCTAGAGAGGTTCAATGAAATAACAAGGGCATGGAATGACCTCCAGATGGATGAGAGTGATGCACCCATGCTGGAAGATGACAATGAATTGTTCCCTCTGCCGACCAACCCACATGTAGATGAACTAAACATCGTTGGCAGAGAAGAAGACAAGGAAAGCGTCATCAAAATGTTAACAGCAGTTGTCAATGCTGATGCAGGGACGCTTTCCGTCCTCCCTGTTATTGGTATGGGAGGAGTAGGCAAGACAACACCTGCTCAACTAGTGTACAATGATCGAAGGATCTCTAAATACTTCGACATCAAGGTCTGGGTACATGTATCTCCTGAGTTTAGGGTCAAGAACTTCGCAAGTAAGATCCTAATGTCATTTTCAAGAAGACAATGTGAGGCAATGGAAATGGATGATCTCCAAGATGCACTGACGGAGCAAGTTGAGGGCATGAAATTCTTGCTTGTTCTTGATGATGTGTGGAATGAGGACAGGGACCTTTGGAACACTTTACTGTCTCCTATGCTAAGTGCTCAACTGGGAATGATCCTACTAACCACCCGTAACGAATCTGTTTCGAGAGCTTTCCAAACCATGCCTCCCTACCATATAGGCTTCTAATCAGTTGATAAATCATGGATCTTGTTTAAGCAGCTGGCCTTTGCCCTCAATGTTCAAGATAGCCATGGTGACTTTGAAGAAACTGGCAAGAAGATTGTGGAAAAGTGTGGAGGCTTGCCATTGGCAATAAAAGCAATTGCATGTGCTCTTCGCTTTGAGCCTACCGTGGAGAGATGGAAGGAGGTACTGAATAGTGAACAGTGGGAGTTACCAGCAAATGAAGACCATGTCCTGCCAGCTCTGAGGTTGAGCTATGATCGGATGCCGAAGCACCTTAGACGGTGTTTCATTTTCCTCACCTTGCTTCCTAGAAGATACCTTTTCTTGAAAGATAATGTCATAAATCTTTGGATGTCACTGGATATCCTCAAACAAGGTGGTCGCAGACGCCTTGAAAATATTGGCAGCTTATACTTTGATGACCTGATGCAAAGAACTATGATACAGCAGACCAAATCTGATGATGAATTGGACTGCTTCATGGTGCATGATCTTGTCCATGACCTGCTACAGTTCGTTGCAGGTGAAGATTTCCTGAGAATAAACATCCAGCATTTCCATGAAGTAGACCAAGGTTATCGGTATTTATCTTTAGTCGTTAGTTCTTCTGATATAAATGTAATGTTGCAATCTGCTAAGATTCCAGAAGGCCTCAGAGTACTTCAAGTTGTCAACTCAACAGACAATTCACATTGCTATTCCAAGCTGTTCTCCTTTAATATCAATGTGATAATTCCTGACCCACTATGGCAAAGTTTCCAGCAACTGCGAGTTTTAGATTTCAGTCACACTGGACTGAAGACCTTGCCAGATTCAATTGGAGACTTGAAACTTTTAAGATACCTTTCTCTATTCAAGACAGAAGTTACAAGTATTCCTGATTCTATTGAAAATCTGCACAATCTTAAGGTCTTGGATGCAAGAACCTACAGCCTAACTGAGATTCCCCAAGGAATCAAGAAATTAGTCAGTCTCCGCCATTTCCAATTAGAGAAACGGTCCCCTTTATGCATGCCAAGTGGGGTTGGACAACTGAAGAAATTGCAGTCCTTGTCAAGGTTCAGCATTGGAAGTGGGAGCTGGCATTGCAACATTGCGGAGCTACATGGCCTTGTCAACATACGTCCAGAGCTGTCTATTACTGGATTAAGGAGAGTAAGCAGTGTAGATGATGCGCAAACTGCTAATCTGGTCAGTAAACAGCACCTGCTAAAGTTAACACTGGATTGGGCCGATGGATCATTGCCTAGTAGATGCAGACATCATTCCGGGGTTCAATGTGACCTTGTACGTACACCCGAGTTTGAGGAGGCAATTTTTGAGAGCCTTCGGCCACATAGCAATCTGAAGGAGTTGGAGGTAGCCAACTATGGTGGCTACAGATATCCTGAATGGTTAGGGCTTTCTAGCTTCACCCAACTGACTCGAATAACTCTGTATGAGCAAAGTTCTGAATTTCTTCCTACACTGGGCAAATTGCCTCAGCTCCTTGAGCTCTCTGTGCAATGGATGAGAGGCGTTCGGCACATTTCAAAGGAATTCTGTGGGCAAGGTGATACAAAAGGCTTCCCTTCATTGAAGGATCTAGAGTTTGAGAACATGCCAGCTTGGGTGGAATGGTCTGGAGTAGATGATGGGGACTTCTATTGCCTCCACGAACTCAGAATCAAGGAATGCTTTGAGTTGAGGTATCTTCCACGTCCATTGTCTGCATCCTTGTCAAAATTAGTGATCAAGAACTGCGATAAGTTAGTCAGGCTGCCACATCTTCCAAACCTTTCTAGTTTGGTCTTAAAGGGAAAACTTAACGAAGAGTTGTTTTCTGACCTGGACTTGCCATTGCTGCGAGCATTGAAGGTGTCTCTTTCTCACAACATAGAGTGCGTCGTTCTTAGCCAGAACCTGCCACTGCTAGAGCTCCTTGCGGTTCGTGCATGCCATAAGTTGCAGGAACTAGTGGGCCTTAGCAACTTGCAATCTCTCAAGCTGCTAAACATAATAGCGTGCCGAAAACTGCATCTCCCTTTTGACCAGCCTCTTCCCCAACAGCTTGAGCGGCTTACAATCTTGAAATGTCCGCAGCTACATGACTGGTTGGAGTTCCAAAATGCGCAACTCTATGATCAGGTATATTATGCCTTAGCTTGTTCAAATTTATTTTTTCGAAAATTGTCACTTTTAGAAGGAAAAACATTGATTAATTTGCACTGCTAGCAGCTACTGTCTGACCATGAAAGCGATGAAGACCGAGAAGCTCTTGAAATGCTGTGGGATGACACAGAAGATGAAGTTGAAGAAGAGTTCTTAGATATATCCGAGAATGATGATGATGCTGAATCAGACTTCGGGCCATCAGGTTTCAGTGTTGACGACGATGACCAGGAGGATTAGAGAAACTAAATAGACATAGAAATTACTGCTTCACTACAGAAAATGCAGATGGCTGTAAACATTTGATTATGTCATTTAGCACCCTGTGTGTTGATACTTTTCAGGATAACCATCTTTGATGTCCACCAGTTAGAAACAACACATTATCACTCAACAAACTTGGAACATTTGGTTGTGTCCTTGGTCTGTTCCGAGTGAAACCGCTCTATATAGTACTGTTAGAAACCATTACAAATAGCTATACCTTTCAGTTCTTGTAGGTGCTCTGTCTCTGTTAGCTCTTCTAATCTTTCTAGTTTGATCTGATTCCCTTTGTTTTCAGTTTTAATGATGGTTCCTAGTGAATTATGTCTAAATTAATGAAACATATTAGCTACTGTGTTCAGATTCCCGAAGAAGTTTGCCATCATCGAAGTGACAACACAAAGCCTTAAATTTTATCTTTCTGGGATAACACCAAATTTAAATAATGGACCAACTGACGTAAACAGATTTCAACTTACCTAGAAAGAAGAATGTACCTTGGAACATTGAGGTTGTGCTGTTAGTGTGAGCTTGTTTCAACAACAACAACAAAGCCTTTAAGTCCCAAACAAGTTGGGGTAGGCTAGAGTTGAAACTCATCAGAAGCAATCAAGGTTCAGGCATGTGAATAGCTGTCTTCCAAGCACTCCTATCTAAGGCTAAGTCTTTGGGTATATTCCATCCTTTCAAGTCTCCTTTTATTGCCTCTACCCAAGTCAACTTCGGTCTTCCTCTGCCTCTCTTCACGTTACTATCCTGGCTTAGGATTCCACTACGCACCGGTGCCTCTGGGGGTCTCCGTTGCACATGTCCAAACCATCTCAACCGGTGTTGGACAAGCTTTTCTTCAATTGGCGTTACCCCTAATCTATCACGTATATCATCGTTCCGAACTCGATCCCTTCTTGTATGACCACAAATCCAACGCAGCATACGCATTTCCGCGACACTTAGCTATTGAACATGTCGTCTTTTCGTAGGCCAACATTCTGCACCATACAACATAGCAGGTCTAATCGCCGTCCTATAAAACTTGCCTTTTAGCTTCTGTGGTACCCTTTTGTCACATAGGACACCAGACGCTTGCCGCCACTTCATCCACCCTGCTTTGATTCTATGGCTAACATCTTCATCAATATCCCCGTCCCTCTGTAGCATTGATCCTAAATATCGAAAGGTATCCTTCCTAGGCACTACTTGACCATACAAACTAACATCTTCCTCCTCCCGAGTAGTAGTGCCGAAGTCACATCTCATATACTCATTTTTAGTTCTGCTGAGTCTAAAGCCTTTGGACTCCAAAGTCTCCTGCCATAACTCCAGTTTCTGATTCACTCATGTCCGGCTTTCATCAACTAGCACTACATTGTCCGCGAAAAGCATACACCAAGGGATGTCCCCTTGTATGTCCCTTGTGACCTTATCCATCACTAAAGCAAACAAATAAGGGCTCAAAGCTGACCCTTGATGTAGTTCTATCCTAATCGGGAAGTCATCCGTGTCTCCATCACTTGTTCGAACTCTAGTCACAACATTGTTGTACATGTCCTTAATGAGCCCGACGTACTTTGTTGGGACTTTATGTTTGTCCAAAGCCCACCACATAACATTCCTTGGTATTTTATCATAAGCCTTCTCCAAGTCAATAAAAACCATGTGTAGGTCCTTCTTCTTCTCCCTATACCGCTCCATAACTTGTCTTATTAAGAAAATGGCTTCCATGGTTGACCTTCCGGGCATGAAACCAAATTGGTTCATAGAGACCCGCGTTATTGCTCTCGAGCGATGCTCGATAACTCTCTCACATAGCTTCATAGTATGGCTCATCAACTTAATTCCCCGCTAATTAGTACAACTTTGAATATCCCCTTTATTCTTGTAGATCGGTACCAATATACTTCTCCTCCACTCATCAGGCATCTTGTTCGATCGAAAAATATGGTTGAACAGCTTGGTTAGCCATACTATAGCTATGTCCCCGAGGCATCTCCATACCTCGATTGGGATACCATTCGGTCCCATCGCCTTACCTCCTTTCATCCTTTTCAACGCCTCTCTGACCTCAGATTCTTGGATTCTCCGCACAAAGCGCCTATTGGTGTCATCAAAAGAGTCATCCAACTGAAAGGTTGTGCCCATATTCTCACCATTGAACAATTTGTCAAAATACTCTTGCCATCGATGTCGGATCTCATCCTCCTTCACCAAAAGATGCTCCCTTTCATCCTTAATGCACTTAACTTGGTTGAAGTCCCGTGTCTTTCTCTCACGAACCCTAGCCATCCTATAAATGTCCTTCTCTCCTTCCTTCGTACTCAAATGTTGGTAAAGATCCTCGTACGCTCTACCCTTTGCCACACTTACAGCTCGCTTTGCAGTCTTTTTTGCCATCTTGTACTTCTCTATGTTGTCCACACTCCTATCATGGTACAAGCGTCTATAGCATTCTTTCTTCTCCTTAATAGCCCTTTGGACTTCCTCGTTCCACCACCAAGTATCTTTAGCCTCGCCTCCACTTCCTTTGGTTACTCCACACACCTCTGAGGCCACCTTCCGAATGTTGGTTGCCATCTTCTCCCACATGTTGTTTATGTCGTCTTCTTTCTTCCAAGAGCCCTCTTTGATAACCCTTTCCTTGAATACCTCTGACGTCTCCCCTTTCAGTTTTCACCACTTTGTTCTTTCAATCTTAGCTTGTTTATCCCTACGGGCATGCACCTAAAAACGAAAATCTGCCACCAAAAGCTTATGTTGAGAAACAACACACTCCCCTGGTATCACCTTGCAATCCAAGCATGCTCGTTTGTCCTTTCTTCTTGCGAGGACAAAGTCAATCTGGCTACAGTGTTGTCCGCTACTGAAGGTCACTAGATGAGATTCTCTCTTTCTAAAGAAAGTGTTGGCTATCATCAGGTCAAAAGCTACCGCGAAGTCTAGAACTTCCTCCCCCTCCTGATTCCTACTACCATACCCAAAACCTCCATGAACTACCTCGAAACCTGCGCTTGTAGTACCTACATGCCCATTAAGATCTCCTATAAAAAGCTTCTCACTAGTAGGTATAGCTCTAACCAGGCCATCTAAGTCTTCCCAGAACTATCTCTTAGCACTCTCGTCGAGGCCTACTTGGGGGGCATACGCATTAATTACGTTCAAGACCATATCACCAACGACAAGCTTGACTAAGATAATCCTATCTCCTTGCCTTCTCACTCCCACCACACCATTAGTGTGAGCTTGTTTATGTATTTATTTTTATCGATGCTTATTTGTTTTCATTCCTTTCGTATTGTATTCAAAGAAAAGTTTCCCTGGGGCTCACCTTGTTTCATGTGTGGGAACAACCTTTGACTAGCACCCCACTGTACATGACCGCATCCTTTGGTGAAGGACAAAGAATGGCGACCAGAAGGGGAGTGAATGAGAGCCTTAAATTTCTTTCGAAATATTCAGCCACTGTCCCAAAATCGACCCCTAAAAGGCACACACGCAAAAGCGATATAATCACGACCCAACTGGTGTCAAGAGCACCTAGATAAGTTCCATGGATCGGTAGAAAGCCAATGCAAAAGACGGAACTCGAATCGGAGCACGAACGCGCAAGAGGCGGAAGAAAACATCACTGCTACAGTACCACAGTTCAAAAATCAGAAACTCAACTGCCGGAAATGTTTCTGCTCGCAACAAACGCAGGGGTGGTAGACTGTCCGTGGGTGCACCCCGAACAGTCCGGGACTCGTGAACCAGCACAGAAAACAGATCGCCCGAAAATTACCCTAACACAAAATCATCCGATTGCGGCCAAATCAAAACCAAGTGCCACAAATTTTGGACCAGATGATCACAAGGCAGTAGGTGAGCTATCTCTAAAAGATCATCGCCCGAAACTTAGCCAATCGATGGGGTTTTTAAATCACACGGCGAACACTGGTTATTCACCCCAAGAACATGAATCGCCCCGATCTATGAACTCGTGAGGATTCAATCAAATTTCTTCGATGGAAAGGATCAACTCACGTCCTAGTTCATCTCAAATCAATCGGTTTGATCCAAAACAACCTCAAATCGACAAATCGAGGCAAAACAGGATAGGGAGAAAAACAAGATCGCGAAGAACACAAAATGCGATTCACATGAACACAGCTCAAATCTTGAATCCCGGAGGACAAGAGGAAGTAAGGACCTTCATTCCCACACAAATCACAGGTTCATAAACTCATATTACGCTACCATGAGATGGATCATTTGAGGACCTCTAAAGCAACCCTAGAATGAGAGAGAGGGAGAAGTTCTGAAAATGAAAAGCTAGAAAGGTAAATGCTGTTTGGGGGCAGCCCCCCGTTATTTATCAGGGCTATTTCACAATCCCAAATTGCCCCTAAATAATTAGAGCAAACCACCTAGCCCGCAGGGCATTATGGTCCAACTCAGATGACTGCTGATCCGATGGCCACGCGCCTTTCATGACTTAGCTTCGCCTCGCGATGATGCCACATGCCGCCTCCGATTCCTTGCTGGAACCACACCCAAATTTTGAGGCCCAAATCCGAAAACCGTCCACCCGATGGTTTTGAGGCTCAACCCACCAAACCGCCCGCGAGTAGCGTACTCCATACGCATCGCCCGCAACTCGACGCGTGTCACCGCCATCCTCGACTGCCTAGCCGCCAAGTCTTCCAGAGCATCCGCTCGACTTGCTCGACTGTCGTCTTAACTCGATCAACACGGTCCACCATGTACACTTGCACTTGTCGATGTCCCCAAGTGTCAGCCACCGCGGCTGGTCACCTGGCCTCCTGGTCCCTCGGTCCAAGTCTCACGTCCGTCCTTCACTGCTCCCAGTCCATCGGCACGGCACGTCTCTACTTGACCTTCACCTCGCCATCGACCACCACCTCCGAGGATCTACACCTGCGCACCACAAGCCAAGAGACATGTCGCCAACTCGTGCCATGGTTAGTTCACAAACTCAACCCAAGACGCGAATTACATTGACAATCACTCATCACAAATCGAACCACAAGGGCACATATCAACCTGGTGTTCGCATTTGGTCCAATCCCACTTTGCTAGACATGGATCAAACTTCTGTGCTGACTTCTATGCCCATGTGTTGAGCAGTGATCCAGACCAATGTTTTCAAGGCGGTAAGGCGAGGCGAGGCGACTGACTACCGCCTTACGCTTAAGCGACTAAAGCGTGAGGCGAGGCGACGCCTTAAGAAATTAATTAAAAAATGAAAACATCAGCTTAGAGCAGTAGATGAAGAAAAAAGGAAAGGAAAAAAAGAAAAAGAAAGGAGCCGAGTAAGAAGTGGGCTCGCCCACCCCACTAGGCGCACCATGTGCTCCTTCCCTCCCGGCGCCGCCCGCTCCCCCTTTGCTATTCCGCCTCCACACGACGCACGACGACCGCACACGAGTGGCTGCTCTGCTTCCCTCCGCCCCTCTCCGGATGCCCCGCTCTCTGCTTCCCTCTCCTCTTGATGCGCCGCTCTGCTCTTCCCTCCGCCCCTCTGCTTCCCTTCCTCTCTCTCTCTGCTTCCCCTTCCTCTGCGTCAAGCTCTCAGATCGACAGCCGCCGCCGTCTCCCCTTCAAGATCTCTTGCTCGAGGGAAGACCGGAGGAGGCGGCTCGGGTCTGCTCTGCTCGATGTTCACCAGAGGAGGCGGTGGGGAAAGCAGCATCCGGCCAAGTGCTCCTCGCGTGGGTGGGGAAGAGGGAAGGGAGAGGCGAAGCGGCTCGTGTCCTGCTCAATGGAGGACCAGAAGAGGCGACGGGGAAACAGCAGCCCGCCGGCGGCTGCTCCTCGCGCGGATGGGGAACAGGGGAGGGGGAGGCGGAGCCTCGGCGGCAGCAGCTTCTACCGGCGGCGCGGGCGAACGCGTTCGCGCGGGTAGGTCCGTCTTCCCTGCGAGCGCTCCTCTCTCTGCTCTCTGATTTCTCCTGCGCTCCTTTCTCCCCGCGCGCCTAATCTCCCGCGCGCGCGATGCTTTCCCCGTCCTTTCTCCCGCGCCCGCGTTTGCCATCCCCGTATGGCGCCCGCCTTGCTCGATTTCGACGAATCGGACGCCAAATCGACGACTTTCGGACGCCATGGTAGTAAGGCGGACGCCATACCAATATGAGGCGAGTTGTCCGCCAAATCGTCCCGCCTGTAGCGCCTTGCCGATTAGGCGACGCCAAAGCGACGCCTTAAAAACATTGATCCAGACCCTAGCAAATGATGGCAAATTTGATGGGCATGACCAAATTTTGGCTTGGCTAAGTAAGACAGCACACCAGACAGTCCCCTAGTCCTCATGTTCATACTCAAGAGGTCCTTGATGTCAAGAAGACAAATTTGAGAAGTTTTTGAGGCCATTCGGAAGGTCCTCAGACTCAAGAAGCCCTCGAAGGAAGCTGAGCTAGATCAGTTTGTCGAGGGTGGGGGTGTGTACTAGAACCAGACCCCCAGGTTCAATGCCTCATCTAGTGAACTTGGGTGCCTATTTTATTCTTAATAAAAATACCATATAGTCCCTCCTAGGTTGGTCTAGTTTTTCAAGAAGCCCTCGAGTTCGACATCGAACTTAAGAAGTCACTAAGCTCAAGAAGGCCCCACCCTAGATGTAGGGCTCAAGAAGCCCTCAACATGAAAGATCCTTCAGCATAAGAAGTCCACACCCTCAACATCAGGCATTAGAACTCCTCACCCTTGACAATGGGCTAAAGTTGCCATCGACCTTCGAGAAGTCATCGGTCTAGAGGCTGAGAACTTGGCAAAACTAGTGCTATAGTGAATTAAAAACAGATATTTAAATAATCCTTGAAATCCCCGCAGAAGTTTGTCACTATCAGAATGACAAAAACAGAGCTTCAGATTTTGGCATTTGGGTAACTCCAAATTAAAATGGTGAACAAACCAACAAAAACAGATAAAATTCGTACATGTAGATCTTGGACTTATTAGGATTGAAAATTGTGGCTTGGAACAATAACTAGATGATGCAGGACGAGTTCACCAAGCAAATGCAAGTTTAGTGGTACAAGTGTTCTGTTCATCCACAGATCCAGAGATTGCAACCATTCAAGCAGCTGAAATATTTTGACTGTAGTTGATGCACCTTTCTCGAGGTACCTGGACACAGTAAGTTCTTGTTATTTCCAAAGTTATTCATGAAGTCGAATGACATGTTTCCAGTATCCAAAATTTTACTATATTTGTTTGTTGAAATTTCCCTTAATTGCTTGATCTGATTCATCTATTTAAACCAACATATAGGGATCCAGTTTGTCACATTATCTTGTGCACGAATTTCATGTGCAATAAACTTTCAAACCACAAAGACTGTCGTGTTATTCATTTAGACTGTCATGTTATTCATTTAGAAATAGCAGTCTCTTAAATGTAGCTTCAATCAGTTCAAAAATAATAGTAAAGACATAAAGTTTTAATATTATGTAATTGAATATATTGATACAATTCCTATGTGACATATCTAAATACTGGTTCAGAAACAACTCAAGCCAGAGTACAGTGCTTAAACAGTAGGAACAAACCACCAGAACTTGTATCAAGGCATCAAACATAAATTAGTGGGGACCGCCTATGTGCAGTGCAGGGCAAAAATGTTATTATAGGATTAACAGTAAAGTCTGACATTCATTAGTTACAGAGAAAATTAGTGATGCAATGTCAAATTTAAGTGGGCATTCAGTGTGCAGTTTGGCAAACCAGCTTTGGGCCACTAAAAGAACAGACGAAAGTGTGGTCAAAAGAAGTACAAGCCTCCATGTGAGATGGTACCAGAAACAATAAGCTGTCTTGAGAGCGTTGCTATATCATAGAGCAAAGTCAACACACTCCGACTTCAGAGTTATACCAGCTTTTAAGCGTGATTTGTGATTGGAAGCCATCTTATAGCTTGACCAACTCAAATTCTTCCAGCCAGCAGAGAGGAGCAGAAGAGAGATGGCTGGTCTGATTGCATCTGGAGTTATCAAGTGGACAGCAAGAAAGCTTCCTTCCTTGGTTTCTGCACCAATTGGGTCATCACAATCTGATGAGCAGCAAACTTCTGCAATCAGCGATGTGCAGGCGCTGCAGAGGACGATGGCTACTGTCCAGCGCACACTTGGGGTAATGGATGAGGATAACATCAGAGATGAGTCTGGAAGGCTTCGCTTGAGGGAGCTCCAGCAGTTTGCCTATGATGCACAGGATGCTATCGACAAGTACAAGTTTGAGCTGCTGCGTCGTATGATGGATGATCCAAACAGTAATGGTGAAGACAGAAGTACATGTAAGCGCAAGCGCAAGGGAAAAAAGGAGGTACACGCAGTTCTGCTTCTCTGACACTTATTTTCATAGTTCATACTGATCAAACCTTTATTAGATGATTGTCAAATCACATACAAAAACATAGCAGAATTTGCTATGGTACCTTCAACTCAAAACACTAGAATCATGGATAGAAACTACTTAATTGAGATGTGAGCAAGACAAACGAGATTAAGTGCCTGTTTGGATACACATAGCTAGTTACTAGTTGGGGCTAAAAATTAGCCCAAATTAGCTATGGTTGTTAGTACAACTAGTTGAAGACTTGGCTACAAAATTAGCCCACCTATTAGCTCTCCCGTTTGGATGCACTAGAGCTAATTTTTAGCTAGCTAGCAATTAGCTCATGTATCCAAACAGGCCCTAAGGCCAGTGAAACTTTTAATGGCACTCACTAATACTGAAATTACTAAATATTGAACGAGTTATGATTACAAACAATAAATATCAGTTTTCATTTTGACTAATAAAGTATTTCATATTCAGGAACCTGAAACAGACCCTGTGGTGGTTCCAGTACCAGATGAATTGGCTCTCAGGGTAAAAAGAATTCTAGAAAGATTTAAGGAGATCACTAAGGCATGGAATGATCTCCAACTGGATGAGGCAGATGCACCATTGAGAGAAGATGAACAAGACTTCCTGCCAATGCCAACAACCCCACATGTTGATGAACCCACTGTCATTGGAAGAGATGATGACAAGAACAACATAGTCAAGATGTTGCTCTCAATGGATGGATCTCATGGAGAAAAAACTGCATCAATTCTTCCTATCATTGGAATGGGGGGAGTAGGGAAGACAACGCTTGCCCAACTAGTTTATAATGATTGAAGGATAATGAAGCAATTTGATCTAATGGGATGGATCCATGTATCGGAGAACTTCGATCTTAAAAACATTACGAGCAAAATTATCATGTCATTTACAAGAAAACCTTGTCAAATAACAGAACTGGACCAGCTAGAGTATATGCTAATGGATCAAGTTGCTGGCAGAAAGTTTTTACTTGTTCTTGATGATGTGTGGAGTGAAAGGAAGGACCTTTGGGATGCCTTGCTATCACCAATGTCAGCTGCACAATTAGGGGCAATACTTGTAACTACCCGCAATGTGAATGTGTCATCAGTTATCCAGACAATGGCTCCCTACCATGTGGGCTGCTTACCTTTTGATGAATCTTGGCAGATATTTAAGCAGATGGCCTTTGGTCACCTAGATCAAAATATAGAAAAAGCCTTTGAAGAAATTGGCAGAAAAATTGTTCAGAAATGTGGAGGCCTGCCTTTGGCAGTCGAAGCAATTGGAAGCGTGCTTCGCTTTGAGGAAAATGAGGAAAAATGGAGTGATATATTGGACAGTGAACTGTGGGACTTACCAACAGGGGAGGATACTGTGTTACCAGCCTTAAGATTGAGCTATGTCCGAACGCCGATTGACCTGAAACGGTGCTTTGTTTTGTTCACGCTGTTCCCAAAGGGGCACATTTTCATGAAGGAAAATGTTGTATATCTCTGGATATCTTTGGGCATCCTTAAGCAGAACAACCATAGACACCTTGAGAATATTGGGAATCAATACTTTGATGACCTACTGCAGAGAACTATGGTTCAGCGAGTACAAATTGATGGAGGACACAACTGCTTTACCATACATGACCTTTTCCTTGATCTGGCCAAATTTGTCTCAGGTGAAGACATTCGAAACTGGACACTCAACACATGCTGTATTTAAATGATGCATCACGTAATGTTAGGTACCTATCCTTTGCTGTGAGTTCTTCGGATCATACTAATTTGGACCTGCGTACCTTGCCAGTTAATGGAAGCATTAGGATACTTCAAGTTATAAATGCTATGGATGATAACAAGATGTACTATTCTTCTCTTTTCAAAAACAACAGAAGATGCTTCTCCAAGTTGTTCTCTCATCATATCAACATTACACTTCCTGAAGATCTAAGGGGTCTTCGACATCTGAGAGCCTTGGATTTAAGCCGTAGTTCATTGACATCGTTGCCTGAGTCAATAGGAGAACTGAAGTTGCTTAGATACCTCAGTATTTTCCAAACACGAATTGCCAAGCTACCTGAATCTATCTGCGGTCTTTACAACTTAAAGGTTTTGGATGCAAGAACTAACATGCTTGGAGAGATTCCGCAAGGCATTCAGAAGTTGGTCAGCCTTCAGCACCTTAGTTTAGATCTCTGGTCTCCCCTATGCATGCCAAGAGGAATTGGGGAGCTGAAGAAGCTAAAAACATTGACAAGGTATAGTGTTGGAACAGGGAATTGGCACTGCAACATTGCTGAACTACACCATTTGGTGAATATCCATGGAGAACTTTCCTTTACAGGGCTCAGCAGAGTGACCAACATCAATGATGCTCAGACAGCAAACCTGGTCAGTAAAAGACACCTGCAAATTCTGAGATTGGATTGGTCTGCTGGATTCTACGCTACTGAATGTGAGCACACTGTTAATGAGAATAATGCAACATCAACCCCAGAATTTGAAGAGGAGGTATTTGAGAGCTTAAAACCACAGAGGAACCTTGAGGAGTTGGAGGTAGTCGAGTATAGTGGCAACAAATATCCAAGTTGGATGGGTGATCCTGCCTTCTCACGTTTAGCCAAGGTGACTCTATGGAAGCAAAAATGCAAGTTTCTTCCAGCTCTTGGCCAACTGCCTCAGCTCCATGAACTTGTAGTCATCCATATGGAAGGTGTAGAGCGAACTGGGCAAGAGTTTTATGGCCAGGACTCCACAAAACGGTTCCCAGCTCTGGAGCTACTAGAGTTTCAGGACATGCCAAAATGGGTGGAGTGGTATGACATTGCTGAAAGTGATTTCCCTTCTCTTCGTGAGCTGAAAATCAAGGATAGCAATGAATTGAGAGTCCTTCCACAGAAATTGCCAGCTCATTTGAAGAAGCTGGTTATTACAAACTGTGAGAAGTTGATTAGACTACCGATTGCTCCTTCTCTCACTAGCTTAGTATTGAAAGGCAACATTCATGAAGAAACATTAAGTTGTCTGCATTTTCCACTCCTCAGGACATTAAAAGTCTGTTTCTTGAGAACAGCCAAGTTTATCAAACTTGAAAACATGCCAATGCTAGAGGGACTAGCTATTGTTGGATGCAGACAGCTATTTTCTGTAGCAGGATTGTCTAACCTCGAATCCCTCAGTCTTCTGAACATAAAAGGTTGTCCAAACCTGCATCTCCCTTTCGAGTCACTTCCGCAGAAGGTTCAACAATCTACTGTCACAAATTGTCCTCAGTTGCAGGAATGGACTGAGTGGCAGCAAGCTCAAATGCCAAAACATGAACATCAGGTATAGGCACATAGCTTCTCACTGATGTATTCAAAATTTTAAATTAATATCTCAAATTGTTCGTTGCTGGCCTCATTCATATAAATTTTTGAAAGAAAATTTGCATCATATAAATTGATTACTATCTTGCAAACGCAGTTACAAGAACCTGATAGTGCAAGCTACAATCAAGAGGTTCTCAATGCAATAGAGGATGACAGTGAGGATGACTTTGAAGGTGTCAGTGAAGATGAAGATGATTGTTTCTATGATAGCATGCTGGATGTTGGAGAATCGAGTGGAATGGCCATTGATTAAAATAATGATAGTGACGAGGCTTTTTAAAACACTATAAAAGAAGTGTAACCCTCTCCAAAGAACAGACAGATATCGTTGGGTAATACCATAGCATGCAATGGTCACAGTTTTCTATGTTCTTGCTGATCTATGACTGCCATTCCAGAAATGGTAATGAATTTTTTTTTTGGTTTGCGCCAGTATCCAGCTTTCAACTGACCAAGCCAAATTATCATGCCCTTGCAAAGTTAAACACAGTTATTTGCATAGTAGCATATTTAACTTCCTTCGTATTGCGGTCTGAGTTCAGTGAGTTGATAGTTTCTCAATCAGAATACGATGTATATACTTTCTTCCCATGTGACAAGATTCATCTATGAAGCGACTAACATATTATTGCCACATTCGTTTGGGTTTTACACTAATTTATGTTACTTATAATAGGCTGTACAGAATATTGCTCAACCAAACCGATGGATAGTGTTACAGATCCATCATGACCAGGTGATCTATTTGAAATCTAACTAACTTGTCCAGTAGCATTCACCTAACAAATAATGAAACGAAAAGAATGAGAAAGGAAAATATATATTACCTCACCCAGTAGACTCTGTTTTCTATTAAGAAACACTGCCTTCCTGCCGTATCTGATTGCACATTATCTATTATTGACCCACGAAAGATGATTTTAGGTCTGGCCTCCAATGAAAGATGGCAATAGTACAGCTGTACAGGTAGACCACCAAAATCATGTAAACATGGTAGAAAGTCCAACATGAACTAACCCGACTTAGTAAAAATTAGCATGTAGGCTGCAAGAGATATTAGTTCAGATGCTCTACTGTGTTGATTTGCTCTTGCCCATAGGAGTGTAAGAAGATGAGCACAGGATGATGCATTATATACTTTTAGGATACAAAACCAGACCTAAAAAAGAATGAATAAACTAAAAAGTTCAGTACAAAAAACGTGTTTTGAAGAATTTCAAATTATGTACACTGAATTAGAAGTAGATGAATGAGAGCAGCACCCAATTTTTAGTTCACTCTGCAGCTCAATGCAATCATGTAAAATAGCTGATATCTAGAACAGTTCATGAACATAAAGAGGGACCTCACAAAGCAAAGGAAAGCCTCTCGAGTGACATGTACAATGGGGGCCTCAGAGGATGTGCTTAGGCAAAAAAAAAAAAATAACAAACAAACTTGCGATGTCAGATCTATTAGGTGTTTATAAAGAAGATAAGATGCTTAATTTTTTTAGGGGTGCTTAATGATGTGGCATATTCTCTCTCATTAAGAATTCATTGATACAATTATGGAGTGAAATAGTTGTTTGCAAGTTGCAAGTGACATCGTTGAAATACTACGCTCCTTGCACGGTAAAAATTTCGATAACGCAGACCACGTCCGGACGCTTCACCCACACTCTATGTCACCTACGCTGCGCCCACCCGTCCTCTGCTCCACCGCCACCGTGCCGTCCCCAATTAGCCTTTGCACCGCGCGTTCAGCTCCGTGTTGCCGGCACCGATGACCTCCACACGTTATTCACCCGCCCTCTGCCCGCACTGCCGCCCGTGCCACCGTTACACCCACCCTCTGTGCGCCGCCGGCGAGCACACCGATGACCTCCACGAGCCAACAAGCCTCCATTTGATGAAGCAGCAAGGAAATATTTACGTTGAAAGAGCATGTTACAAATATATGTTTCAAGTGTTTCAGAGGTACGTTGCAAGTGTTTTATATTGATGTTGGAAAAGTAGATCAAGATGTTGCACATATTGCAATGGCTATACACGTATGTTTCAAGTGTATGTTCTAAATATTTCATCAGTATCAGACGTATGTTGCAAATGTTTTCATCTGGATGTTGCGAAAGTAGATCTAAATGTTGCATACACATGCATGTCGCAAGTGTTTTATATTGATGTTTAAAGTGTTTCATCTGGATGCTCTATATGTTTGCAATGGCTTTCAAGTGTTTTTCAGGTGTTTTGCAAGCGTTTCAGCTATTTTCGGACGTATGTTACAAGTGTTGCACTTTCGTGTTCACTGCTACAGATTAACTTATCACTATCGTCACTTTCACTATCGTAGCGATAAAAGCGTCGGTGTGATACCTTCACCGTCGGTTGGACCGATAAGGATGCCTCCTAAGGATGGAAACCAGCAGTTGAAAACCATCAATGTAGCGGTGGTAGTGAGGTTGAATTCCACCGTCGTTTGGAACACCGAGTCGACTGCAATAGGCGTTATGGCCGCCGGCCCTACACAGCAGTTTGGTGTACCGGCGGTAGTAAATTCAGCGTGAGTTATTTCCCCATTTCCCAACTACCCACAGCATAGTTGCATCACCATTACTTTCGTCTTCCCTGATGCTTATATTAACTGCTCCTCTCTACTTCTCTATCTTCAAGGTTGGGCTATTTAAGCCGGGACTGGATGCGCTTCTTGTCAATCCACACACTTCTTCCTCCTTAGATATAGATAGATACAAACAAAGCTCTTGAGCCAGCCATCTATATTTTCTTCATCGCCATGGCACTCCTTCTCCAACTCCTCTGGCGGCAGCAACGGCGTTGGGAGAATGCCTTCAAGATTGGGTACTACCAGCATCTAGGCGCAGTGGGGGCTGCTCGATCTAGGTGCTAGTGAAAGTTTTGCGATTGAAGGGGTTCTCTTATTTGGGCAACCTAAGGGGTACTCAATGCACTTTGGTATCTCTGATTTGCCCAGCGCATTTCTTGTGCTGATTCACCATCCCGGTGCCCTAGCGATCCTCCTTCCTCTGGAGCAGCAGCGACGACAGCGGCGCTTCTCTTCCACGCCCTCCTCGTGACCATGAGACGTGAGCACCACAATATCCTCATCGATAAGGAAGTTACTACACAAGAAAGGTGGACAAAAAATGGTTTCCTTCATTTTTTCTTAATGCTAAACTTACATGTTGACAATTAGTCATCCTATGCAGGAATGCACATACTCGCGACCATGAGAGGTGGAGATGCTCCTCTTGCTCTCTCTCTCTCTCGACCGTGAGAGATGCAGCAGGGAAGGTAAAGCACCTCACCGAGATGCTCCTCTTCTTGCTCTCTCTCTCTCTCGACCGTGAGAGGTGCAGATGCTAGTGAAAGTTTTACGAGGTGCTGCCTCGTTCTTAGCTTGCACTGTCTATCTCTAGACTCGACTATGGGATGTACCAGTACTCGATAGGTCTTCATTACTATACACCCATTAGTCTTTGATATGTCTTTGTTATTGTACAACTATGGAATGTACTCCCTCCATCCATAAAAGAATGCAACTACGAGTTGCGTGCTAGTAAAAGTTGTTCACTTTTGACCAAGTTTCTAGTGAATAGTATTCATATTTATGGCTTTGAAACAATTTATTATGAAAATACATTTCATAATTAATCTAATGGTATTTATTTGATATCATAAATATTGATATATTTTTATCTATAATTGATCAAACTCAAGATACTAAAACATGACACTGTGCTAAAATTGCATTCTTTCTTGGACGAAGGGAGTAAATGAAGTTATGAATGAAGTTGTTGTGATGATTGTTACTGTGTCGTTTATATATAGTTTTTGCCTTTAAAACAATTAATAACTGAATGGTGATGTTTGTTACTCTATTTTTTAAGTGTCATAGTATTTGCCTTGGCTACACAGACGTGAGATAAAGCATCTCACTGAGATGGTGCTGTGGTGGAAGTATTTGCCTTGGTTAATTTGCAAATTGTTTTGCTGTGTTTCCAAATTATCATTATTGCAGCTCCCGTCGCCGTTTCATACGGTGATTCAGCATTAGTGTTAGATCGCAAAGTACAGGTAATCAAATGGTCCGCGTCGTCTTCCCTGCTCCATCGCCCACGACTCGCGTGGATGGCCGTGGATGTCATGGATCTTGACTGTTACCTTCCCCGCTCATGTTTATTAGTGGAGATGACTTGAATAACTTGTATTAAGAAATTGGAAACATGCGCAAGAAAATCTGAACTGCATCATACGAGAAGGAAGGTAATTGTAACGAGTTTAGAAAGGAATCGTACTTGCGTATCATTGTATGAAGGAGAATGAAGAGTTTATCATACAAATCCCCGTCATCTAGATATATACATATCAACATTGATCTGCACTGAATCTACCACATTGATGTGAAGAACCTATCACACTCATTGTGGATCCTACACTCCTCGCTACAGAACATAGCCCACTCCTCCCAACCTTCCCATCTGGCATGGATGCCGCAGCCTCCGCCTCTGCACTGATGTCCATCCTGGCGATGCACCGACATGGCCAGAGGAGGCAGAGGACTAGACTCACCCGGCACCGGCCACCCAGCCAAGTCCTACAACACGAACATGGCCTATTGGAGGCGCCATGTACATATCTCGTTCTTCCACGTCACATTCACCGCCGGGCTCGCTTCATCACCTTCAACCTTCCTCAACCACCGCGGGGCAATGTTGTCGTTGCCGGCACCGCTATTGGACCTATGGAGCACAAGGGATAGAACAAATGCAGCAACATCATGGCCTACCGTGGTGGAGCGCTCAAGCATGTCGAGCCATGGCATGAGCGCGCTACGGTCTTCCACGAAGATGGCGCGCATCCCAACGTAGAAGCAGGCCTTTGGGTTGCCGACGCTAGCAAGCCTGACGATGAGCTTGGCGTGGTACTCGTGGTCATAGAACCAGTTCCAGGTCCCAAGGCATATCCCATGCAGCAGCACCCGCCATAGTGGTATGCTCCATCTCGCTATGGCGTCGCCGCACACCCTACGCATCTACGAGCAGGTTGCCCGCAGGCTGCCAAGATATTCCATGGGATCCGCTGTAGCCATAGTGACGCGGCTAGCAATCTCAATAGCCATATCAGTCGGGAGCTTCTCCATGGAATGAGGGCACGCGCGGTAGCTACAAAAGATGGATCCTTGGGTCGGGGAGTGACGTCACGGCAGAGCGGAGCACTAGGGAGGGGGATCGGAGCGGAGCAAGGTGAGTTTCAA